TAATGATAATCTACGCGTTCAAAAAAAAAAATCAAAGGGGAGGGGTATCTCATCCAGATTTAGTTGCGTCCTAAGTCAGAAAAGTGAATCTATTATTGATGATTTGATTTTGCTGAATTTGTGCTGTTTTTGGACATCATCCGATGCTAGTTTTTTGTTGGCAAACTTTTTCCTTTAATTTTAAAAATCGGTTGTTCAAAAAAACAAAATAAAACTGTTGACTCTCTGACCAATCACAATTGTTGTATATTTAATCTAAGACGAAAGCATCGACACTTTTTAAACAAGGATTTTAGAGAGAGAGAGACAGATATGTTATTGCACAAAAATGTTTAAGGTCACAAAGAGGATCATATTACTTTTTGGCAGGATCAACCATAATATTTAGAATCCAAAATTATAACCTATAATATAGATCAAAATCCATGATTTCATGCAATTTACATGCGAAATCAAATAAATTATAATACCAAATAATAATGAAAATTTGGAACTCAATATTCACAGCTAAGAACCCAAAGTCCCAAATACTGAATTTTCAACCTCATGTTTTTTGTTCCTCGTCGCCTCCATATATATCTCAAGCTACAGCTAATTTCTTAAGCATCAGAACGTACTTTATTTTAATTCTTGTACGATATTTATAATTATTGAATATATGTATATGTACATCAAGGTACATTCATGTTGATTGAAACATGTGGGAGGATCATGCCAAACTTGAAATCTTGGTTTAAAATTTTGCAACGGAAATAATGGAAAAATGTATTGCACATGGATCAGTTGACCCTAGTGATCAATTACTTAGTAATCTCATGTGGGCATACATCATGCCAACAGAATTATTTCAATCTGTGTATTTTATTGCAATAGCTTTTCTTGTAGAAATGATTATATAGAAACAAGTTTTCGTAATATTTAATTTTATTTATGCAAATTCAGATTGTGTATTCTTACTTAATGCTAGATGCGGTGGATCGAAATGTTAGATTTTAAAATTTTGTGTTGAATGTACATAATTGTGTTGGGTCGTGGGATGTACATGTGAATTGATGTCATTATTAACTTTGAGGACGGTGATTTTGTTGTAATTAAATAAATAAATCTTGTATTCTATACTAAAAAGATTTGGCAATAAATTTAGAAAAATGAAAAAAAGTCTATTTTATTTGTTACACATTGTCAAAAGTTTGACAACATGCATCTTGGTCCCACGTAATAGGTGAAAACGAAATGTCACGATTGCGTAAATATTGACTTCGTATCTATTTGAATTGGCAAATCACGCCAATAAAGGTGCAATGAGACTTCAATCAGAAGGAATGCAATCTCATGGCAGGATTTACCATAGCATCAAGTTACTAATGAAATCTCAAAGTTTTAACAACTAACATAAAATCTTTTGTAAAACGAAATCCATGCGGATGCGGTGTTTTGGTATGAACTTAATAGACCTTTAAGAGAATTTGACTTATTAAGGTAACTAAAATTTTGGTATGTTCACATATGGGTAATATTGTTTTTTTGTACTCATTTACCCAATTAACTTATTTCAGCCGTTCACAAATAACCAACATTACCGACTAACATAGGTTTTGGCTGATGTTTCATCTATGTGACTTCTACGTTGTAATACTTATCACCTACGTGGCATTGTATGTATTTGTCATGGTTTACATTTTAAGAAGGGTGAGATACGACTGTTCATTAAATAAAACCCTAGATCAATTGATGGCATCTTCTTCCTCATCTTTTTCTTCCAAACGACAAGACGAATTATAACCGGATCATCCATATGATTGCGACTTGCCATCTCGTGTGGAGATATCAAGAACCCCCGATAATCCTGAAAGGAAATTCAGAGTTTGTCAAAACTCACTGGTAATTCAAATTTTTTTTTTTTGAATTTTTTTACTTCTTCTTCATCATCCTTAAATTTAACCTATTTTTATAAATTTCTTGAAGAATGGAAAAAGTCCAAGATGTAAAATTTGGCAATGGTTGGATGAGGATGAAGGGAGGAAAGATGGAAGAAGGCATTACAAGATGAAACCAGACGAAAACTGTATTCTTACCTTGAAAATTTGTACATTGGAGAATGAAATCAGCATATGCAGGATGAAGATCGAACAAGAGAAGAACACCAATAAACAAGAACAGGACAAAGTCAATTGGAAATTGTTTACTCATAAACTTGCATTGATTGTGTTGTTTCTGTTGTATGTAAAAATGTTGTTTTAAATTATGTAGTTTTGATGTAGTATGACTAAATTATGTATCCTTTCTAATGTTTTGAATGAAAAATGCTACATTAGATTATTTGAATGTATTGAATCACTGGAATGGAATTGTACAAACATTGTAATGACATTGTGATTACACTTGGTATGATAAAAGATGGTAAGAAATTATAAACATTACAAATGGTATTAGAATATAGATGTTAAAAGATTCCAGGGAACATTGATTTCAAAAGATGTGTCAAAAGTTATACATAACACAATTAAACATTCATTACAGCCAAAAGATATGCAAAAAGTTAAACAGTACACGCTTAAACATGCATTACTGCCAAAAGATTCCAATGTTAAAAGATGCATGTAAAAGATGCCGAAACATTAACAAGATTCCAAGAAGCCAAAAGCTATTCCAACTCATATCGATTGTCACTACTACTTCCCTGTTTCCCCTCCCACTTCTTTCTTATCTTAATATTTGTAATTCTTTTTAAAGGTTTCCGTTCCCTCTGTCTCACTACAAATTGAATGGCTGATACTTCCTGCATAATCTCTTCCACTTGATCTTGAGTTGTAGTTTGGTTATCATCTTCAACATGAACTTGCACTTCAACTTGAACTTCAATATCATCTCCAAGTTGATCTTGAGCTTGTTCCTGAATAACATCATCTGCTTGATCTTCAAATTCAACATCATCTTCAGGTTGAGCTTGAGCTTGTTCTTGAATAACATCCTCTTCAAATTCAACATCAAAAGACTTCACTTCACTATCAGGTTCCATTTCAACTTCACTGTCACTTTCTATATCAACTTCATGTTCCAATGCAACCTTCACTTTACCTATTTTGCAATACTTGAAAACTTAAGTTATGCGAAATATGTTAAGTTATACAATATATATATATATATATATATATATATATATATATATATATATATATATCAAACATACCACCTTTCTTGGGTTTCTTTTTCTTTGAACTTGGATTTGATGATTCCTCAATTCGTTTTTTAGGACATGTGGTTCTATTATGCGCACTTTCCCAACATATGTTGCATTTCATCACACTATCTCTTTTTGTGACTGAATGCTTTTTTCCTTGGTTTTTCCTCTCAATCTTATCCTTTTTTCTTTTTGTTGATGCTCTTCCTGGTAGCCTTCTCATTTTGGGGGGCAATGGCTTGATGTAGTCTACATGAGGCCACATGTCACTACCATTTAGTGGGTTAATGGTATACTTATAACAGTTTAAGAACATTGTTGTGGTAAACCATGGTGACACATACTCCTCCACATCTCTGTTGAGGCTTGAAATGCAAGCATACCCATGCACACAATGATAACTTGTTAACTGCCAAGTTTTGTAGGCACATGTCCTGCTACCAAGGTCTACAACATATGCATCACACCCAGGTCTGACTTCATACTGTTGATAACCAGATGGTATAACTTTCCAAAACCTATTCACATACACATAATCAAGGACAAACATATATAAGGAGAAACATGTTAAAGGATAAACATATATAAGGATAAAACATATTAAAGCACTTGCCTTTGAAGATCCTTAAGCTTGGACAACCTCAGTCTAATGGAAGGACATATGGTTAAATCCTAATATTACCCCTTAATCTTCTGTATATAAAGCCTCTCTATCACATGAATTCGAATTTCTTCTGACATGGTGATTAGTGGTCTCTTCCTGGTAGCTTCAATGACTAAATTAAATCTCTCATATATACCATTTTTGTATGAATCACAAGCCCTGTCAGTCTAAAATAATTCTTTACTCCAAGTTTTTGGGTCCCTTTCCATCAAATGATCATAAGTCTGTGGTTCTAATTTCTTGATGTCATTCATATGTTGCTCAAATTTTGAAGGGGTAGTAGATGCAGCAGCATACCAGAAAAGCATTCTAAATAGTTGGCCCTTAAACCTATTCATGAAGTTAGCACATATGTGCCTAGCACTTTGCCTATGCTCTGTTGCAGGAACCCTTTCCTTCACAGCCTCATGTAATCCATGTTAGCAATAGACACAAAACATAAGCAATACAAAAAAACATAAGCTCAAATAAATATGGAAAAAATAGAAATTGATTACTTTGTGCTGGTCTGATATTAAGGTTAGTCCATGCTCAACTCCAATTCTAATGTCCTCAGTTAAAAGGTCAATAAACCACTTCCATGTTTCTTTACTTTCCATTGCTACAACAGCCCAAGCAATAGGATATATATGGTTGTTTGCATCTCTAGCTATAGTAGAAAGCAACTGACTTGTACCTATGCCCTTTAGGAAGCAACCATCTGGTCCAATTACCCTCCTACAACCTTAAATCCATCGATCCTTCAATCCCTTGAAACATACATAAAACATTGAGAAATAAGTGGTTCCATTAGGCATGACATCTACATCCATCTTCAATGTTGATCCAGGTTAGTCCTTTTTATCTCTTCTCCATAGCTGCATGCTTTTGCATAATGCTCTTTTAAAGAACCCTCTATCTTCTGAAATGCATATTTCCTTGCATTTCTGCATTGTCGAACACTTGCAATCAAATTAAATTTCGTGTTGACTTTAGCTTTCAAATGATTTCCTATCCATTTATAGGTAATAATCGACTCAAATTTGAAGACTCTTGGACAATTATGCCTATAATTTAGAGATTTAATCTGGAATGATTTTTCACTAGTCATCCAGGTTGCCCACAACCTAAAGGGACAACCTGTATTCTGCTTATTTGTCTTACCTTTACGACATTTTACCAATAACCTTTGATGATCACTTTTTTCATACCATAAATCATATCCATTTTTAATTTCATAGTTGGTGACACACAACTTCAATTCCAATGGGTTAAAAAACTTCATACCGAAAACTGACACCCTTTGCTCCCATTCTTCATTCTCATTATGGACAGGGAACACAACATCCTTATCTTTTCCATTGTTTGCTTCCTCTTCATCATCATCACTTATATGCCCTGAAAGTTTGTCCAAGAATGGATCTCCAACAGTTTTATCAAAAGTACGGACCTCGTCATCACATTCATGTTCATATTCCATTGTCTCTGAAAGTTCAAAATCCTTGTCATCCTCTTCCTCCAAATCATCTGACTCATACCCTTTACCATCTGCTAACCACTTGTTATCATCCAAATCAAGAATTGGTTCATTTTGGTGGTCAATGTTCATATCTAACTCACTCTCAAGACTATAAACAGTTTCCACAAACTCCCTATAGTCAACATCACTGTTGATTCTTCTAATACCCTCACCCAAGCTTTCCTTTCAAATACACTAGTATAGATTATCACAAACTCCTTTGGTTAATTTTGTAAGTAATAAAAGAAACTCTTTATACATAAATCCCCCAAAATCCACATCACATACAATTATTTTTACGGGGTCTAAGTACACCAATGGGTTTGGCGAAAATATTCCCTTGTAATGAAAGTCTACAGCTACATACATACATGTAGATGAGGATGCCATGTTAACAGTCGACTTCAACTCGTAATTTCAATTCCGAACCCTAATCGTTGATTTGTTGTGTCGATTGATTTCTCACAGAAGAAGGTAATCGGGGTGTGTCTTTGGAGCTTGTCCCAAGTTAACGATGACGAACCCTAATTAAAAGAAAAATGGGTGTAATGGTCACGTAAGATTCCACGTAATGTGTTTTAACTGGGCTAAATCGATGTTACCGGCTAAAACAAGTAATAGCCGGTAATGTTGGTTATTTGTGAACGGCTGAAAAAAGTTAGTTGGGTAAATGAGTACAAGAAAAACAATATTACCCATATGTGAACATACCAAAAACTTATTTACCTTAATAAGTCATTCCCGACCTTTAAGGTCTCTCGTGATGAGGAGATCATGGGGTCATTTCTATACTTATATGATAAAGAACCATTTTAGAATTTAAGAGTTCTCATGATGACGAGATCCTTTGGGTCTATTCTATTTGAACTCATTATAGGATATTCTATTTGTATTCGTTATAGCTAGCTCTATTTGCATGATTTAATATTTCCCAAAAAGGAAACTCTACGACGAAAAGATTCTTGCACTTGGGAATCATTTAGATGCCAAAATTAGTACTTTCGTATGTACTCTCTCTCTCTCTCTCTCTCTCTCTCTCTCTCTCTCTCTCTCTCTCTCTCTCTCTCTCTCTCTCTCTCTCTCTCTCTCTCTCTCTCTCTCTCTCTCTCTCTCTCTCTCTCTCTCTCTCTCTCTCTCTCTTTCTCTCTCTCTCTCGTTAACATAAATATATAGACAATTACATGGTACTTTAGCTTTAGACAAATAGGGTCAGGCATGGCTTAATACAATATGGGTTATACACATAATACATGTACATACTCTACATCTCCGCTCAGTTTTATCACGGTTACATCAGGATGAATAGTCTGAACGTTTAAATTAAGACTGAAACACATCAAAGAGACACGAAGGAAGCCCATGGTGAAGATATTTAAATAATGGGAATGCAAGCGTACCTGGAGAACTCAAGCATATCCCAATGCTAATTTTCCAGGGAAAAAGCGTATGTTAATCTCGATATATTTGGTCAAATGATGTAAAATCTAGTTATTCGAAAGATAGAAACCACCATCATTGTTACAATTTATGATTGTCGCTTTGGTAGATGGGAATTGAAGTCTCGAAAAATATTATAAAGCCAACATATCCTAGTGACAACATACTACACCCCTTAATATTCATATTCAATACTAGATAAATAGATACCACCTTATCTCTTGGTGGACTAAGAAAGTAGGCTCCTAACAAGGAAAACATGGTATTCATAATTCAATCGATGTGTGTTCATGCATCCTCCCCAATGTAGTGATTGTTGGATCCAACATAATATTAATTATCAAATAATGGTAAATATGAACCTAACTGATCACACAAAGGATACATATAAATGAAAGTAGAGCGTGTGTCCTCGGGTATAAGGATTACCAACTTATGATAACATCCAAGCAACTATTTATGCTAACTAGTGCTGGAGGAAACCGATCATGACCTCCATAGCGGTTGCACGTATCTCTGACACCAACAATCTCAATTCTGTCTCCCTCACTCGTTGCTCTAGATTCTCGATCACGATATGATGATATTGTACTACAGAATGGGTACCCTCCATATGATCATATGCGTGGAGGATCATCATCTCGTTTATGTCTCTCCCCTGCTCTAAGTCTCTGAATCTACCAGCTAATGATTTATCTTCCTCCTCAGTGAGTCATGATCCTCCTCCACCTTATGTATACGATCTCCGTGTCGTGATACATACGAGACTAACACTGAGATCGGTCTATCTTTGGGATCCTCTAGGATGGGATCGTGCCTCAGTTCCTGGGACAAATCTCTGATCTCATAAAACCCAATAGTATTTTCCATGATCCATTCGTCTACCTGTGGAGTCTATTTGTGGGTAGTGCAAGGTTTCTTTAATGGATTTGGGATGATGGTGGTGAGGCTGCCGTATTCCGGGATGGGATGGGATGGGAATGGATTTTCTAGGGTAGTGATAATCATGTGTCCTAGAGCATGAATACTAAGAAAAGATGGGGGGAAGTGGGGAAACAATCTGTGGGGATGACTCTGACTCAGTAGGGTCCTCCTCCTGAGTCTCTTCACGATCCTGGTGGGAAGATGACTTTGGCTAAGGTGAATTGCCTACAAGTACTCCACAAATCTCAATGCTAGTGTCACACCCCCAAACCGAAACGGCAGAAACGTTCGGGGGCGGAGAACGTCATGTATAGTATCACAACAATCGCATAATAGTAATCAAAGCAAACATAACCATTACATTGATTAAATATAGTATTTACATATGTTCAATACATAGTTTGTATGATATCAAAAATGTATAACAAAAGTATAAAAGACGCGACTCTAAAAGCTCCGTCTTCTCAAAACCTGCGGGTGTACCTGTCTACCGGTCCCCTAAGGATACAAGTGGTTTTGAAAGTGTATCAACATTTAAGTTGGTGAGTTCATAAGTATCTTTTTGTAATGGAAACTTGTCTTTGATCTTTGAAAAATGTTCATATATTCCTCAATAAAATCCAATATTCTCTTTAGTAGCGACAAGTACTCTTAGGCCTTAAGAACAAAATGTACGTTTGTTACTGTATTCTGTAATAGTATAACATAGTAGTGTTTGTTATGAAACCCTTGTATGAAAACCTTTATATGTGTGCCTGGATACTACCAGTTGTATTGTATAATAGTATACTGTATGAAAACCTGTGTATGAATCCATGGATACCACCAGTAGTAATGTATAGTAGTGTACTATAGTTTCATTAATTAAAATAAAACCGTTTATTTGAAATCCCTGGAATCCTCCAGTTGTAATGAAGTGTAGTTTTATTATTTAAAATAAAACCGTTTGAAGAAATGTAATCCCGTAAACAAATGTTTTAGTTTATATTGTAGTGAGTTTTGTACAACCATGCTTGATATGACTAGTAACCTCTACGACGTTCTTCAGGCGTCGGAAACGTTATGACATTTGTCACCCCAGGCCTGCCGGCCTAACTATAGCTAACAGTTTAGGTGCGGGAATGTCAGTCCTGTATAGATGTATACATAAGTTCACGCTCTCCCTCCAGGAGACTCTGGTTATATTGTAAAGTATTTAGACATATACCCTGGTGGGTACAATGAACTAGTGCCTCACAACCCTGTATTAACTAGTTTACGTGTAGTGTTGTAGTGTTCTCTTGTACTTGAATTTGTATGTATAACCTTGTAGTAATGTACTTGTAATGTAAAATAATTATACTTAAATAACTATTTAGTAATGTTTCCTTGTATCAAGAAAATAGTGTAGTGTTCCATAAACTATATCTACCATAGTTTATATGTTAGTTTCTGAATAATGTTCTTGAAGTAGTAGAATAGTGTAATGTATCCCAAACTATACCTATTATAGTTTGTATGAATATTCTTGTTTCTTGTATTGATCTCAGTAAAAGTAATGTAGTGTTCTCAACTATACCAATAATAGTTTAATTGTATGTTCTGTACTGTACTGAAAACTTTTTCAATTTAGTTGTATAAAGGAAAAACACCCTTTTGCTCGACATGGTACAAATAGGGTTAAAATATATGAATATTTTTGTAAAATGTAGTGAATTCTCTGTTTGAATCAATTGCAAAGGTTTTGAAGCTGTTTGAAATCATTTGTATAAAACGTAGAAATCCTTATGTTTTACCTGGATTCCCCCCTCCCCTAAAAACATTGAAAACAGTAAAAATTTAGGGGTATGAACTCACGTCTAGTGCATGTTTGAATCGGGATTGTGGAACTGTAGAGATGATCCTCAGATTGAGGTGCGCGGAATTAACGGTATCCTAATGATAGTTAAACACATAATTGTATTTAAATTAGCGAAACCATTAATGAAAGTGTTAGACAACACTTATTATGTGTTAAGAATGATTACCGAGAATTGTATAAGTGTTGAAGAGAGTTTTCGGTTCCAAAGGGGTTCTCGGCCGAACACAGGTTTTCGGTCCTGGGTGTTTTCGGTCACTTGAAGATTTGAAGGATGTTCTTGGTGTTGTTGGTGTTCTTTGTGAAAATGTGAAGATTTGAAGATTTTATCTTGAAGGTTTGAATGTTCTTGGATGATCCTTGGGAGCAAAAAGAGAGTGTTTTCGAGTGTAAAATGTGAGAAATGATTAATTTTTCGAAGGAAAAACTTATATATGGTTGGGTTTTCGGGCGGAAAAGAGATTTCGGCCGAAATCAGTTTTCGGCCGAAAAGGGTTTTGGTGCGAGGGTTTTCGGTTCCGACGGGAAAGATGTTGATTTTTGAGTGTTTTTGATTCCGAAAACTTATATAAACATTATTTATATAACTTAAATTATTTTCTAACCCTCACAGACTTACGAAATAAATAAAACTCGAAATTTTATTCATCGGATTTGACTTGAAAAAAATAACGGGTTGTTACATCATCCCCCCGATAGAGGAAATTTCATCCCGAAATTCTTTTTATAGAGAGTAGACTATGAACTAGGGAAAAGATGCGGGTACTTTTGTTTCATTTGATCCTCTCACTCCCAAGTGAATTCAGGTCCCCTCTTGGCATTCCAGCGAACCTTCACTATTGGTATGCGACTTTGTTTCGTTCGTTTGACTTCCCTATCCATGATTTCTATC